GACTTTTTTTATAGGTCCATGGTTATTTCCAATACTTTTAATTTTGGCAGAGCAATTCCACTACGTGACATCTTCATCAATTTCATTAGTAAGTTCTTCTTCTTCTTTGGTTTATGGCGATGAACCATTAGTAAGTTAATTCTATTAGCAAGTTCGCCAGATTTGATTGAAATATTATCAGCTCATGTGACATTTCTCTATTCTTAAAAATACTTTTGACTCAGTGGAACTGCTCTGTAGGTAGAACCTTAAAATCAGATGCTATATTATCAAGCTTACACCTGTATTCACAAACATTACTATGAGGTGTCACAGTCACAGTGCACGACGCACGTGGACGCACAGGGTCCCAAAAACCTGTTCATAGACAATACTTGGATGGCAGAGTGATGCTGTGCTTTTGACTTCGCATAGCGTTGCTGCTTTACTTAAGCAAGCATCGTTTGTGAATACAGTAGGTACGGCTAGCACGAAAAACTTTCGTGTTCAAATCGTTTGCGTATTCGAATCGCCATCAAAAGATTTAGTATGAAAACTACAACAGCGCCCTTGTAAACGTGTCGTAAAGTGAACTTAGTATGAGAAATGGTTGCACGAAACTTATTTTGAGAATCAAAATTGTCACGTGATCTTTTAATTCGAAGGTTGAGTATCGAATTGTATCGAATACGCAAACGATTCGAAGACGAAAGTTGTTCAATATTCATGCTAGAGGTACTGAGTGATACTTCATCGTTCATTCTTGCATTATAAAAGACCCTCACCTGATAGCTCAAGGTCTTGCTCTGCAAAGACAGACTCCTGGAGAGCGCCCGCGCTCTCACAAGCTTTACCGAAGACACGCCTTCCACCGTTTCTGTCTCTTCTGCGTTCTCTCCTTCTAGACTTAGGAACACCTCTTCTAGGGTCGTCATTGAAACGCCATAGCTGGTTATACCTGAAGCATAATTTTTAGGCAATGAGATCTAATGTCACTTTTTTAATTCCAAATTCCTTATTTCTGTAAATTTTCAAGGGTCTACTTATGCCACTTCTGCAGGTCTACTCCGAAATGCTATTTACGTAGTTTCGACTTTATCTGTCACCGTTTCTCATGCTTTGCGTGAGAGAGATAGCAAATTCGAAACTACGGATAAAGGTTTTTCAGAGTAACCCCGCTGGTGTTCTAAATTTTGTCTTAAAATTTTAACCCTTAAGTAACACCGTGGGGTAATTATTTACCCCAGGCGCATAAAAATTGACATATCTTTTTTTCTACCGAAGCTAGTGCAATGTCGTTTTGTGTATTCTCAATGCAGAGTGTACGCTTCAAGCTCGTAGACGCGGGATGTGAAAAAAATCATCTGTTTGGCTTGTACAGGTAGGTGGGGTGGAAAATTACCCCAGGGTGTTAGTTACGCATGCTTTAATTTATCATCACCTAACATCGTATAAATAGGTTTTTACAATATTTCAACAAAATGAGTAAATATTTATATGACGATTAAGTAGCACGTTGTCTCGAGAATGCAGAGAAATAAATAAAACTTGATTTACATGATACTTTTCGAACTTTGAAGACATCCCCTCAGAACACAGCATTCATAAATTCGACACAGAAATAGAGCCCAAAAGTGATAATTATGTAATAATTCAGCGTGTCTGATGTGTTTTGAAAAAAATAATAAAGAATAAAATAAATAAATAAATATATTTTCATAATTTTAAACAGGTTGTTGATTTCAATACCCGCCATATTTAGGGAGTTGATTAAGTAGCTTATTCTGATCACGAATCAGCAAAAAAACTGACTTCAAATTTTTTTTAAATTATATTTTAAATATCTACGATTTCCATAATCGACCACTACAGTGCAGAATAGTCCCCCAACGCAAACGGCGCGCGGCGCTCACCCGGTGACCCGGGCAAACGCTGCGCCCCCCGTCCCGCGCCCCACTACCCGCGCTCGCCCATGAGTCAGTCAACTATCAGCCACAATCAGCTGTGAGTTCAACGACGACTACTGGACGGAGCTTAATCCAAATCTACCCTAAAAATGTAATGAGTAAATTAGTTACTTACACCTTATCACGTTACGAGTTTATTTTTTGTTCTAAAAACTAATTAATTAAGTAGGTCTTTAATAAAAAAACCTTTTACACGAATTTGCTTCCTTCCGCAAAATAAAAAATTTTACAGAAGCTACATTTTTTTTTTAATTAAACCATGCTTTTGTGTGTGTGATAAGCTTGTACCTACTTATCATTCAAAAGTACTGTAAACAGATGACAATAATGCTCTTTCATACAGGTTCGTTATTCCTTACATTTCTAGCTCTCTACCTTAATAACTTTTACGTCTTTACGATAGTAATTATTAAAATAAAACTTAACTTACCGCAAACTGAACACCTAGAAATAACACACTGGCAAACTCTTGTTCCTTCACTTTCGATAGGAGATAAGACAAGATTTTGTTTTTAAACTCGATTGATTTCAGTATCTAAACAAAATTTCTATCATTTAGCACTTCTTTCATTTAAATACAGTAACATAGGCTAAATATTATTTTGGAAAAAAATAGGGTTCCGTAAAATATGTAGTACACGCGCGCGAAGCCGCGGGCGGAAAGCAAGTAGTAAATAAAAAAAAGCGCTGGACAAACTACTGTTTTTGAAATTAGTAAATATTCATGCCGTGAAACGCCATCTATCAACATGAAACGATATGGGTAAAACGAGGTCCACGCGTATGAAGTCGCGGGCGGCCGCTAGTTACATAATATCACATCATAATATTTCAGTCACACGTTTTAAATTAAAATAAAAAACATTTTCAAAATATTCAGTTTGTGCTCTCGTCGTATACACGACGCTATTAATGGAATATTTGGCAACTCATAAGCAGTCATACGACTAAAATAAATACACAATAGGTACCAGAGTAACATATATAGAAAGAAGTTTTCCATAATTTTATATTACATAGTAGGGGGAATTGGTTAACTCTATTCATGAGACGTTGCGTTGGTTAAAAAAACATTTTATTCTTGACTGTACAAAATCCGTCATAAAACGAATCTGTCATAAAGAGAATCTGTCGTAAACCTAATCTGTCCTAAACAGAATCTGTCCTTAACCGAATAAAGGCATCTCTCCTGATGTTAGGCTTTTCTTATTTGTAATAGAGATCACAGTAACTAAGAGAATTCTCCATTCTAAACTTTTTGGAGTCAATAAACCTTTTCATCTTGTTCTTGGATCAGGAACACTGACATACCTGGGCACTGGTTCGATATCCTTGTTGTGCGCAGTATCGCCGTTGGAGTGGAAGTGGACGGCGGAGACGCGGCCGCGCCGGCTGCCCATCCAGTACGACGGCATCAGGCAGAACCACGGCTTCTGCTTGATGCCGTACTCGCCTGCGAATGGTAAAACTTTAGTTATTGATTTTTTTCTTAGCGTGAAGAGTCGTATCTTAAGAGTTAAGGGTAGTACTACCCAACATTGATGAAACAAACGCTGGCCGTAACAGCGTATTACATTCAGATGGAAGAACATTGCCCAGCAAGCAAAAGATTGTAGGTTCGATTCCCACCTTTCAAGTTATTTATTTGGTACAAGTTTAGACTAGCAGCTAGCTAACATTCAGCTGGAGCAGCTTGACAGAAAAGTTAAGACTAGAAAATTGGTAGAACTGATTATTTAATGCGACTCGACGAATCAAGACATTTATGGTAATGCTAGAATATCGTCAAAACCCAAATTCCAAAGATAAGACCCCAAGACAGATACTTGACAAGCCGGCAAGCCGGGCCCGATCCAAAGGTTGTCCCACGTCATGCCATATCCCAGAAACTTAGAGCCCAAGAGGTGTCTTCATTAGATACAGTAATGACCTCTCTATGACGCTAGAGATTTTCCCACTTCCACTCCTTCCAAGTCCAGAACTAGAGCCCCAAGCATCTAGACTAGAGACAGCGATGACTCCTTCCATGCTGTATCATTTACTCGAGATGACGGCTTCCACCCCGTTCGCGTAGACGTTGTCCCACGTCACGCCCACTCATAGAGTGGCCCACACTTTACAATAGAGTCAGTATAGACTCTCTCTATGATGATCACTCACTCGGGATGACAGCGTCCAGCCAGTAGGCGAAGAGGCCGTAGAGCACCGTGTCCACCGCCATCATGATGAGGCTGCCGCCGAAGGGCACGCCGGGCCCGCTCCACAGGTTGTCCCACGTCACGCCCACGCCAGCCATGTCCAGGACCAGAGCCTGGAACAACACATTAATCAAATTACCCAGAATGAAAAAAAAATTGTCTGGAGTGGACTGATTAAATACATATTAGGTACTTGCACATCGTCAATATTGCTCTTAAAAAGCCTTTAGGGTCATTCAGAAGGGAGGCCTTTCTATGTCAGGCCGTATTTTTTATTCGCATAATATTTCTTCCTTAGTCATCTCGTACGACATCTGGAAGAATAAAGGTGGTCCTATTCTACTCTGCTGGTACTACATGACAGGGACAGATATACAGACATCAGGCGTCCCCAACTCTGATCGGCGTGCCTGTGGTAAATTATACAGATAAAATTAGAGAGACTTGAAAACGAAGATGAGGGTGATCAAGATGATAATGATGAAGATGATAATGATGAAAATGATGATGAGGACGAAATAGAAGAAGAAGCAGATGATTCTGTTGAAGGTAATGATGATGATGATGATGATGATGATGAAGATAAACCTCACCTTATCCATAGCCAGTGCGTAACAGCTGGAGCTGATGAGCGAGACGAACCAGAAGGCGAGCGAGTCGGCGTTGGACACGAACACTTGGATGAAGTAGAGCCCGCTCATCAGATTCACGGCGAAGCTGCCCAGGATACCGGCCGTCTGGAGGTGAAGTAGTTAAATAAACACGTGTTTACGACTATAGGTCCAGCGCTTAAGAGCGTTTTCACATTTAGGCGATTTAGCAGCGCGACAAACGCGCGACCGACGCGCTGCCGAATATTTCATACTATGTGACAGCGGATGCATGCCTTCACATTATAAAAACGCCGCTGACGCGCTGCAGTCGCGCTACTAACGCCCTAATGTGAAATCGGTCCTCTGAGTCAGTGCATGAGGTTTGGAAGTGGTAAGGGAGGGTGTGTTTGTGACTTAACGTCACAAACGTCAGCGAGACTTCAGGTCTCCTTCAGCCCCCCTAGACAAAACGCACTTTTTGATCGAATCGAAAATCGAATCCGTCAAAACTCCATACAAAAAAGGGGCTTTTCGACCACTTTGCGACTGGTTTGCGATTATAATTTGCACTTTGTCTAGACCCATAGATTTGTATGCTCTGTCACGTCATAATATGTCAATGTCACCCCTCCTATTCCTGTGCTCCCATACTTACCTCGGGAATTGACTCACAATTTTATTAGAGCTTTGTAAATATTTATAATTTGTTGAAAGTTTGTTAGAAGGTTACATTTTTCCAACTTTTCCTTTTGAGGTAAAGCGAATAGTTAATTAAAAAAAGTAAAATACACCTAATTTAAAAAAAAGCAAACTAAGGTTTATTGAAAGGTTTGGTATGTAGCCAGTTAATTCATAACCGTTTCACGATATATTAAAAATTGAGTACGTACCAAGTTGTAGGACTTCATTTGTCCAAAAAACGTTGTAATTTAAGAATTTTTATAACAATGTAGTATCACCACAGTTCTTCGTCCTACAAAATTTATCTTACATGGGACTATTAGGTCAAGTTTGTCCCGGGAAAGACGTATCGTATCTTACAGCTAAAAACTTGAGCTAATAAAAGTATCTTAATTAAGTAAAAGTAAGTTACTCACTCTAGCTCGGTCGAAAAACGGTGTCAACATAAACGCGAAGGTGATGATGGTGAATCCAAAAAGCAGCATCAGCAGGAAAATGAGGATGTACGAAGAATGCTGGAATACCTGCAAAATGTATTCAAATATTTGCATAGACCACTCATTAAGAGAAACCTTGAATACATCGTAATAATAAATTATTTAACAACATGGAACTCGTGTAAAAAAGGAAAGGTCGAAATAAAATAGCATCGCAAAATTTGTTTTTTAAAAGATTAATTTTACCGGCCAGTTACAAAATGCAGTCAAACTTTTTTCAGTAACTATCGCAAATTACTTCTCGAAAAAAACTCGTAAACTAACCTGAAAAGAGGTTCGATATTTAAATATATCTGAATGCTTTTTTAAAAACATGGAAACTCTTTTCTCATTTTTTCTCTGTGTAATAGAACTTTTTGAAAGAATTCATACCTTCAAAGTAAAAAGCAGGACAGTACTGACGATGGAGAGTATTGTTACAAACACAGCGTAGATCAGGAACCAAGCACCCCTGAAAAAAAATCAAAAGTAAATTAAATAACTATTTACCTACTAAGTTTTTTTTGTGAAAATGTTTCTATGACCATTCGGGCGTTTTATTTAAAACACGTCCACTGCTAGACAAAGGCCTCCTCAAGGATATCCAAAACGACTAGACCTATGTTGCCTGCATTCAAGTGCTTTCGCCGCGAGTTTCACAAGATCGTCGGTTCACTGCGTGAGAAACTTGAAACTTGCTACGGCTTGGTTCTTCTTTGGTTTTTGGTAATATTATTTATTATTTTGTGATAACGGCCTTAATGTGCCCTCCAAAACACGTGAGTCATTCTAGTTATGTAACTGTAACATTAATTTCTACCTCATCTTCTTTTAATGCCCCATAATCGTATCCAGTAGCACAAAGTTCAAATCCTCAACCGTAAAATCACAAAACAATCTGAAAAGAGCAAAGACTATTGGCGAAAATAACTATGTATAGTGTAAACACGCACTTCAGTTAGTTTTACCGCGCGTCGCCCATAATTCGGTGTGCAGGCTCGCGATCGCGCTCTCGTCTCGCAAAGTGTACTTGCGCCATATCTAAACCCACTCACCAGTAAACCGAGTCCTTCAGCCCCATGATCCTCATCCCTTCCCTGATCTTCTTCTCTTTCTCGCCCACCACAAACATCAGCAGATACGTGATAAACTGAGACAGCGTCATGACCATGTACATCGGCATGATGACGCGGAAGATGACCAGCCAGTCGCCAGTGTGCTGACGTTTCGGGAACTGGCGGAGGTCCACGCGTGGGGGTGGGATTGAGGAGTCTGTGTCTGTCTGGAAGTAGAAGAGGATGAGTTGTACTTCACTTTTACTGTGAAATGAAACGATTGAGTATTGCATCAGAGCGCTTTCACATTTAGGTGACTTTAGCAGTGTGACAAACGCACAACAGACGCGCTGCGGATAATTTCTTACTATATGACAGCGGATGCCTGCCTTCACATTATAAAAACGCCGCTGCCGCGCTGCTGTCGCGCTTCTGACGCCCTAATGTGAAAGTGCTCTTATCGTACAGCCCAGTCAATTTACGTTGTGGATTACCTACCCGCAGTTTATTTGTACACTAAAACATTACCCTCCTTTTTGGGTAGTCGGGTAAAAAGTAGATATGTTAATCTACTGTGGTAGTGAAGGCTTTGTCCGGAATCCCACAGTTCCTTCCCACTTAAGGCGAATGATGGAGCACCGGGGTCTTTTAGTGGATATGCCTTGTCCTTCTGACTTGGTGAGCCCCACATAACCTACCCTGTCCCCGTAGGGTAGGTATGCAATTCAATGCATTTTTCCCCGAAAAAAAAAAGAAAAAAAAAGGGGTGTCAGCTAAGTACGTGAGTGTCCATTTATTTCATCCAAGCTTTTTGTTGCTTTTAGGTCAGACATGTTTATCATTCATTAACCAAAGTACATGTAAACTGACAGGCGGATATCAATTACCAGAGTACCTACCTAGATAAATAAGATATTGTTGCTAAACTAGCCGACAAAATGATAAAAAGCTTTTTATGTTAAAATGCTAACGGTAATCCGATTCACCACAAGTATTTTTGCCTGGTTGAGTTCCAATATTTAGTTCAACAATCACAAGCATGCAGATATTCTTGAGTCATCACATCAGCTTTAACAATCAACTGCCGGGCATATTTAGACA